TCACACCTCAACCCGCCTCAAAGCCAACGCTGATTGGACGTTCGTTTGGTGAACGGCTCCAAATTTTCTTCAACGGAGAGTCTCCAGACTGAATAGCGAGTGAAACCTTGAGATCAGGATGGTCTCACGAGGCTATTTGTCGTCGCCTAATTTCCCAAACCACCCTCTAAGCACTAACCCTTAACCCTATAATGCCAAATGTATCATTTTTGATACATGCGTTTTCTGAAATATTTTGCATCTGACACCTTTTGCATAATTTAATGGTAAAAACTTTGCTCAAAATCCTATTGTACACAATCAGATATACCTGATAACAGCCAGTAGAAGACTTATCGCATAGTAATAAATTATAAATATCAAAAATGTATTTCTGAATAAGGAATTCAAACAAAAAAAAGTTATTTTCTGTTTTGTTTTATTCTTGGATCGGGCTTTAAAGGGTTAACTATCGATTGTCCCTCCCAAAGAAGTCTCACTGCCTTCCACTCGCAGGAGTGGAAAGGAAAGCAGTCGTTGCTATGGCAACACAGCGATGCCCCGTGTGTGGCTGTAGCTCTGGGCCGCGGGTTGACAGAACATTAAACATTTGCTTATTTCTTAAAACAAAAGTACACGGTCAAATAAAACTATTTCAAAGAGGACTTTCTATTTTAGAATTTATTACGTTTTTTTTTCATATACTAACTCGTGATTTTCTGTCAGTGTGACGAAGATGCCGTCGGAGTCGTAAAGAGATTCCCAGGCTTTTTCTTTGGTAGTTGACTTCCGTTTTTCAGCAAGTGAATTCGCATTTTCGCTAAATATTTAGTCTTTTAAATAAAGATTTAATTCGAAGCCAAATATTTATTTAACAAACTAAATATTTAATCTGGAAACAAAATATTTAGTTTCGAGATAAATGTCTATTTTAAAAACTAGATATTTAGTAAGATTTTTATAAATGAATGAATGACAGTGAAAAAAAATGACTTGAAGAAAATAACCCCCTTATTTTTTTCTTAAAACAAGCTAAATAACTATAAAGATTGCTCCTAATCTTTGACTGCTTAACTTTACAAACGGCGCCCCATTCAGGACACCGCCTCGAGATGACCGAACCTAAAAAAAAAAAACCCGGTTTGCTAACTGGGACCAAACTGGAATGGATTTACTGGAATGTTGACCCGTTTTTCCGCAGTGCCTTCAGACGACTCACTTGTTGTGTTTGCGCAGCAGCAGGCGGATGTGGTTGAAGTCGGGTCTCTCCGTCGGCTCTTCGGCCCAACAGCGCTGCATGAGCTGACCCAGCTCAGGGCTGTGACACTGCGGGTCGATGGTGGGCCTCAGGCAGGGCCACTCCCCCAGAATCACCCGGTCCACGATTTCTGCAGACACACCGGGACACTGACACTGAAACCAGGAAGCAGAACGGGTGAAAATCAGGGAATAATGGCAGCGGATTTCGTCTCTGCTGCAGAAACAGAAACAGAAAACCTGGCTGTTTTTTGTTGCTCTGTTTTTTTTTTGTTCGAACTGAACAAGAACGGAAAGAACCTTGATCCTAATGTCCTTTGGTTTCCTGACCCTGCCCTGGACCTTCTCTAATTCACCTTTGGAGCTCAGTAACTCGCCCTCCAGGTAAAAGGCTCCTCGACGCAGGGCAACCTCCTGGAGGATGATCCCGAAACTGTAGACGTCTCCTTTTTGAGTTCCCTGGGGAGGAGGAGACTCCATCCGTAGCAGCTCTGGAGCAACCCACAGCTTTTCTGCAAAACAAAACAAAAAAAGAATTAAATAAACAAGTTGGATGTTTTAACTCTACTTTCATCTACGGGTTAGTTTCCAGGTTTGCTCTGTTTCCACGGTAACCATCATCCCTGATGGAGACCATGGAAGACTCACGGGCGTAGTAGGCATGAGCGTCGCTTCCTGAGTCCAGATCCGATCTAAAGCTGGACAGTCCATAGTCGGTAATCTTGAGGACAAAGCGGTTGTCCACAACACAATTTGACGATTTCAGTTTGCCGTGCGATACGATGACACTGTTATGAAGGAACACCATGCCCTGAAGACACAAAAACAGACGAGGACTGACTGACTGTTCCTCTCCTGTAGGAGGAGACAGGAGGGTTCAAGGAAAGACAGAGCTCACCTTTACAATGTCATTGATGAGGGAATACTTAAACATCCAGTCCAGAGTGATGCTGTCGTTCTCCAGGATGTCCTGAAGACAAGGAGACGAAAGGTCAGGAAAGGTCAAGAATAGAAAAACAGGTACCGTATTTTTTGGACTACAAGCCCCTACTTTTTTCCCACCCTTTGAACGATGCAACTTATGAGAAGGTGCGACTTTTTTGTAGATTTTTTCCTAACCACCAGAAGGGGAGGTCAAATTTGCAACGAGAAGCGCGACAGTTCAGTCTAAAGAACGTTGAAACTAGCGTTAGCGTGGCTATCGAGCAAGTTTTATGGGAATTACAGAGTATTTCTTCACTGAAAGAAGAGCAAAACACTGCTCTGGAGGCTTTTCTCAGAGGAAAA